GGGGGGGGGGGAGGACGCCACAACGCGACCTCATCAGCGCCCTGCAAGTTGTGCGCCAAACAATCTCGAGCTGATAACTTCGCTCATCGCTTGTGCTCGCTGCGTAACGTGTAGTGTATACCCCCCTCTCCTCCTCACCGCGTGGGAACTTCACCCCGGGGTCCCTTTCCCTTTCTTTCAGGTGTCCGCGGTGCCAGCGCCGCTGGCGCTGGGGCCTGAGGTCCGTCCACCAACACCACGCCTTTGGGCTGTTTGTCAACAGATTTATCGAGGCGAGCCGCGCGAGGCGCAGCAGAGCTCTCCGTTATCAGCAGAGTGACGTCACCAGCGCGTCACCAGCGTCACGGAGCCGCCGTGCATAAAGAGCAAGGGAAGCACCAACGGCGGGGCTGACGCACCAACACCAGCAGCTCCGGGGGCTCCGGGGTTGAACTTGCAGCTCGGCGGCGCAAGTGGCGTGGCGTGGCATTATGCAGAGCACCCCCCGGCCCCTTTCACCCTTCCCCGCCGCAACGCTAATGAACCACGATCCTCCACACTACAGCCCCTACAACGAGCACGGAGCACCTTCTGCGGGGGAGGAAAGGGAGGGGGCGTCACGGTGTAGAACAACGGCGAGTGCAACGAGAATGCAGTATCGACCGTCACAAAAAGCGGAGGTCTTTGTTCATACAGACGACCCGAGTTCTAGATGTATTTTGCCAAGAGGGCAGGGAGAGAAAAGGCAACTATGATGACAGCTCCTATTTCGTTTTTTGTTTGTTTGCTGTCTTTGATGGCTGCATATTTCTGTTAGAGATTTATTTCTCACTTCAAAGAATTAATAAACAGTGCTTTGAGCAAAGGACAGGAAGTTAACACATGTTTTATATTATACAGGGTCGTCCACAGACCCCTTCCTTTATTTTGCTTATACTGTACCGGATGCAGGCGTGCGACCGGGTTGCATACTCGCACGGGGCCATAAGGCGCCGTAGTGAGCGACGATAGGCAAGCCCGCCCGCACGCCTGCATGCGGTAAAGGAAGGGGTCTGTGGACCACCCTGTATTGGTTGCAATGCTCAAGCTTGTCTAAAACATATTTTGCAACAACATCAAAAGAGACATTGTTCTAATTGAATGTGCTCAAGAGGAACTGAAAATTAGGTATTTAATATAAAATAAACCTTCCAGCTGAAATACTCATTTTAAAAAGTTGTGAAACAGCGTAATTTTATAATAGTCATTAAAATGGAGGTAAGAGAGGGAAATCTCTGAAGTATAAAATTCTTACTCCCTATTTAGTGCTGAGATGCGGAAAAGGATCAAAACAATAAACATCAACATTATAACCCAGTCAGGAGTGTATCACAAGTTCCTAGTGCAAAATCAAGCCCCCACAAAAATGTAGAAAAATGTGCCACAAATCATATGAATCACTTGAACATTGCAAGATTAAAATAGGACACTGCAGGCAGTGATAAGTACAAAGAAGCTACAAGTATTACAAAATAACTAAGGTTAGGGATACTGTTGTGAAAAACCAAAAGAAAATTTTCCTTGCTCTTATACAGTATATAGCCAGGTGGAAATAATAATTCAAACAGAAATCATAGCACTTACCTTGGAGACGAACTAGATACTCTATTAGTGATGAGCAATCCTGTCAACAAGAGGGCTATCTTGGACTCGCCCCTAGAGCCTTGTTGCAGACTTCAATATGTGTCACTCTTTGATATTATATCCAGCAAATTCGGCAACAAGCTGCGAAACCGTACTGACCGCACTTACGGCAAGTACGTGCATTTAAAATACACACCCATCCTTGCGAAAAAACAGTTTTACTACCATTCAGAATACTTTCAATCTTTCAGTAATAATTGTTGGATAAGGTCGAAACTAGAACTAGGGTCGAAACAAGTCGAACACCTATGGGTTCGTTCTAGTATCAATCGAGACAAACGGTCAGAAAGGACGGTGTCCCTCGCGTTTCGCTCTTCAAAGCACTTAAAGAATTTATTCTTTGCGTTTGAAGATGTCATGTTTTGCCTCGATATCCTTTTCTTCAGTTTAAAGCGTCGGATAATAGACTTTTAGAGCATCATTCTTGGATCCCACCACTCGTATCATCTTCTTTTTCTTCGTATCTTCTGCTTCTCCAGAACAAATTGAGTTCGTTCCTTCACCCCCGTGTTTTGACTGGACACTTATTTAGGACTTTGTGCAGCCTTATTTCTCGGAATGTGTTGACACGTAGGATATTTCTGCTTTATTCATGAACTGCAGGGTTATAATTGAAAGGACAGACACCTTATCATCATGGACTTCGACAAAATTCTTCACAAAGCGCAAAAAAATGAAAAGAAAAAGGCGAAAGAGGTGAGGATCTTTGGTTCTTCCTGGACAGCTGTTGACAGGGGTTGCAGGTTATTCCTAAATTATATTCTCTAGATTATAGCAGGAGAGAATTTCAGAGTTCTCCTGTTTCTCTCTGTTACTCTTTGGGTTGAAAATTGACCCATGACCTACATTTTAAATTGCTGTCAGCACTCAACTTGGTTAACCTAATTTTTCAATTCATCCAGCTCCTTCTTAATCATAGTTTTGTCTCGTTCGTTCTATGGCAACATATTAAACTCCTTGTACTTTATGACATTGTAGCAAACATGCTTTTTAATATTCCTTACATTTTTTGTTGTTTTATTTTTATTTGAGTTTGCAGTTTACATTGAACATGATGGCTTCATGCACATGCACACCTTTGCGATTTTTCCTATCTGTCAGTCTATTGAATGGGAGAGATCACAGGATATCTTGGTCAATTACATTCCGTAGTCTCTTTATTGATGTCATTTTTTTTTTATAAAGTCTGTCCCTGTTTGTTTTTTTGTTTCTCTCTTACTGTCTAGTATATTTATATTGGATGCCTCTCTCTCCAATCTTCATACAGCAGGTGAACTGTTACCGGACTTCATTTTCCCCTCCAAAAAAAGAAGGTAGGACCAAGGGGCTTTCTGCAAACATACAGAAGTTTCTAGCTAGAAAAGAAGATGAAGAGCGTAGAAAAAAGACTGACGAGAACAAGAAGAAGGAGGTAATATAATCCAATATTGACTTCAGATTTTTATGAGTTGATGTTCAAAAGAACTTATTTGAATATTTCTTTTTTCAGGAACTATTGGCACTACGGAATCAAGACACTAAGGCCAAAAAAAGGGTGCAGGTAATGTTGAAACGTACTAAATCTGCCAACAAATCAGTTTTGGCTGATGCTATTGATACTGTAAATACTGCCGACACTATAAATGGTTTGTACAGTCTTAAACTATTATCTAGCTATCTAATAATGTTGAAGGCCAGATTATGTATCTAAACTTTGATCTATGATTAAAGGACCCCAGCAATGTGATGAGGATGATTATGGATACGTCTCTCAGGAAGCCTCAAAGTTTTATAAACAAATGATGGAAAAATATACTGCTGTTCCTGTTGCAGAGAAAAAATCCTCTAAACCTAATAATAAGGCAACTGCCAGAGATTTGGTCAACACCAAGGTATCTACTGTTGGTCTAACTATTTTATTTTTTTATGTTATTGGATTTGAGAGATTAGTTTAACATTTTCTTCTGTTCAGGATCGGGTTAGGCAAGCATTGTTGAGACAAGAAGAGGAAGAGCACCTGCCCCACAAAAGAAAACGCAAACATAAAGAAGATGCCGAAGATGGAGATGGTGATCACAGAAGCCGAAGCAATAGTAGAGAAAGAAGTCCAGAACCTGAGAAACCAAAACCGAAGAGGCCAGCAATGCCACCACCTCTTGATTTTTCATCCCTTTTAAAAATAGCTGAGAAGAAACAGTTTGAGCCTGTTGTTGTTGAGAAAAAGATTGTAAAAAAGGAAAAGGAAGAACCAGAGCGATTGATGACTAAAAAGGAGAAGCTAGAGTATGAAAGGCAAAAAGAGAGAGAGAAAAGATTGTCTGAGTATTCTAAACAATCTTCATCTAATTCAAGATCTGATGACAGCCCTCATTCCAGTGAGCACAGCGGAAGCAGAGGAAAGCAAACTGCAAGACAAGATGGAGACAAATACAGATCAAAGGATGAAGACAGATACAGTGACAAAAGTAAAGATAAAGAACGACAACGGGACAAGGTTAGAAGTAATTACAGTTCACAGACAGATAATAGAAGAGCAGAGGAAAGCCGTCACGAAACCAAGTCAACTAGCCTCCACTCAAAACGTAGTCCTGACTCATATCATTCGTCACAATCTCGTTCAAGATCTCGCTCACCTCATACTTCAAGAGATCGCTCAATAAGTAATGGACATTCTAGTAAACATCGACTGAATCACTCAAATAGTAGTCCAAGTACTGACCGTCAGCACACATCCTTATCAAGGAGTAGAGAGGAAATCAGAAGAAATGGTACTGTAGGTAGTGACACTAAAACTCCATCATCTTTACCAAGAATTCCCAAAATACCAAGAATAAATGAAGAAAATAGTTCTCGTAATTCTGAGAAGGAAAGGTCTAAGGAAAGAGATAAGCTACGTGAAAAAGAGTTAGAAAAAATTAAAGAAAAAGAGAGAGAAAAGGCTAAAGAAAGGGAAAAGGAAAGAACAAAAGAACGGGAGAGAGCAAAAGAACAAGAAAAGGCAAAGGAAAGAGAGAGGGATAAGGAAAGAGAGAGGGATAAGGAAAGGGAGAAAGAGAAGGAAAGACAAAGAGAGAAGGAAAGACAGAGAGAGAAAGAACGAGATAGAGAGAGAGAAAAGGAAAAAGAAAGAGAGAAAGAAAAGGAAAAGGAAAGAGTAAGGGAGAGGGAACGGTTAAAATTAAAAGAGAGAGAGAAACAAAAAGAGAGAGAGAAACAGATCGAAAGACAAAAGGAAATCGAGAGAGAAAGAGAAAAGGCAAAGGAAAGAGACCGATTGAAAGCTCGGGAACAGGACAAGGAACGTGAGAAACGAGATCGAGATTATAAAGAAAGTATATCCAAGAAGCCACTTAGTGCATCGGACAAAGAAAAACTTAAACAACAGGAAGTTAGAAAGACTTCAAAATATGACAAGCTTGATCTTTTTGGAGACAGAGATAGTGCTTCTCCGGAGAGACCAGCTTTGAAATCTAACAGAACTGGAGATAATCTAAAGAAGAGCAATACTCAAGTGAAAGTAGAACGTATCAAGGTTGTAGAGACTGAAACAAGAGACTTATTTGACAATCCTGTAACAATTGTGCGAAAGCAAAATCCGAGTGATAACCGTAAAGAAAAGCCTAGCTCTTCCAAATTAGATGACAAGTCAAAACCTTCATCATCAAAATCTATGACTAGTAGTAAGAATCCAATGGATAGCGACAGAAGTAAATTAGGCAATCCTCACGATCGCAAAAGAGAAGCTGAGGACATAAGGAATTCCTCAGACAAGAGACCAAGGTTAGATTCAAATATGGCTGGAAAATCTCAGTCCTCTAAAGATAACTTCAAGAAACCATTACCACCTTCTCGTGGAGAGCCAAGGAAAGAATTCCCACCTAAAGACCTCAAGCCAAAGGAATTCCCTCCAAGAGATCTACAGCGCAAACAATTCCCTCCAAGGGATTTGCAGCCGAAACAATTCCCTCCAAGAGATTTGCAGCGGAAACAATTTCCTCCAAGGGACTTGCAACCTAAGCAGTTCCCACCAAGAGATCTGAAACCAAGAAAGTTCCCCCCCGATGATGTGAGAAGAAATGGGCCTATGCCTAAAAGTAAGTAAATTCTTCTTTCTTTGCAGGCAGTTTTCTGTGCACTTGTCTGTAAGGGTTTGTAATACCATGCATAATACATAGAGAAATTGAAGTTAAATCATGTTTTCCTCAATATTTTTCAGAACGTTATGAGATAAGTGATTCAGATGACTCTGATGACGATGAAGATGAGTATGAATCAGATTTAGCTGATTTCATTGATGATGGACCAGCAGGAGATGAAGAGGACTACTCAAAGTATATCAAAGATATCTTTGGCTATGATAAGTCCAAGTAAGTGCAGTAACCCATGATTACTGTTGCATTAAAATCTTACTACAATTGATCTCTTCAAATTTGACTAAACTGTAATATTCTTTTATTTCTGCTGTCCTAGATATCTTGATGATGACGAAGATATTGAAGAATCTAGTTTTGCTGAACAGATGCGGGAGGAATGTCGGAGTGCCAAATTGGGTAGGGAATTGTCACTGTTGTAATATTTTTTTCTTCCAAGACAGTTTTTATGATGGAATTTGTTTTACAGGTCTACTTGAAGATTTGGAAGACATGGCCATGGAGGTTAGAGAGAAACGACGGAAAGCTTTGCAGCGTACAAAGAGAGGCAGAAGATAATCTAATCAGGGGACCAGATTTGTCGCTTGCTAATGGTAGTGAGATATATATAG